TAATCAAATTTTATATAGTAAAATTTAAGAAATAATAATTCAAAAAAGTTTATTATTAGTAAAATTTTTTTATAAAAGATATATAATAAAAATTTTTATATTTAAATAAATTCCAATATCTAACAACTTAGTTAAATAAAATAGAATTAAAATTTTATTTTGAAAAAATAATCTATTAATTTTTATCTGATGTACTAATCTTTTTGCATCAGATCATAATTTTTAATTATTTATATAAAATACATTTTTTTTGTAATTTTATATATGTATCTTTGAACTTTAAATCTAATTTTCTTCACAACTAGTGATCTAATTTTGTTGCTTAATATAACTTTTAAAATTGCAAATTCATAGCAATAATACCTAAAAATCATTTTAATTTTTTAAAATTACAAATTTTATCCTTCAAAAGCCAAAAGTTTTGCTCATTTATTATTAAAGTATAAAAAGTTATAAGATATGCTCATTTAATATAAAGAATTATAAATATTAGCCATAAAACACACACGATTAGAAAATTATCGTTAACTTCGGCATGATCCACCTGACGATCATTTGCTCTTTATATATATTAAGACGCGTTTGGTCTCTCTTCGACAAGGGTTCATTATGGAAGGGTCAACACTTCTGCGTTTCTTTGATTTTGTCAAAGACTTTGAGTTTGATTATTTAAATATTCCACCAGAAAAAGCGTGGGAAGATCTAGAAAGTGCATATGTTCTTTATCTTAATACAGTAGAACAGACAGTCTCGGACGAAACGCGTGAGCTTATAAAAAGTATTCAGCAAAAATGGACCGTGAGTTTCTTTTACCTTGTTAACTCGCACCAGGTTAAGATAATGAACTTTGATTATGTAGTCGATAAAAAATCGCACTCGGAATAACTTCATCAATACTTATTTACAATTGCGCGAAAAACTTGCTGAAGTAAGTTATGAATTTGATGTTGCGTTTGCTAATGAGAGCCTCCTAAAATGAGTTTAATGAATTTGATTATAGCGAAAAGTGCAAACGATTTCTCATGATGCTGCATGTCGTATTATATCTGCTAATGTGGTGAAGGTGGAGAAAAATGTTAGTTTACGGACAAAAACTGTTGTAAATTATAATCATGATAGCTCTCAAAATTCCTTTGATATTTCAGGGGTTGGTAATATTCTTTGTTCATTTTCAATGTTTATACAAGAGTTATGCACATCATTTATCCGCAATAGACCTCAATACAAATGAAGGACAACACTGGGGCTGCCAGCAAAGAAAAAGGTTCAAAAAGGAAGAGAAAAGAAGACAACCAATCGGATGATCCGTCAAAATATCCTGAAAACCTAGAACAACAGAATACGCTACCGGAAGAGGGTTCACACGAAATCGATACCAAGGTATCGAGTCCTGTACTCTTATTATCTTATTAATGGCCTGCTTGATTAATTTCATTTATAATATTGTTTAAAAAAAGGATGACGGCAATATAAATGATAACGATGTAATAGATGATGAAGAATTGCTTGAAAATACTGGAATTCTATTTAACGAATCCAATGAGGAGTCAATAATCGAAAAGGTTGATGAAGATTCACTAGTGGATGAGGTTCAATTGCCATCAGGAAATATTAATGATAGAACGCCAGAGGTAGATCGTGTTATAAATATTTTATGTGTGTATTTGATAAATTTATTATTTTATTATCATAGGAGGTCCTTAATACAAATATAATCGAATCATTTAATAAATACCAAAAAAAAATACCAAAAACTCGCAGGATCTTAACGTAAGTTTAGCATCGTCACCTTAAACATGATCACTTCACGCTTATTAACACACTGTGCATTTTTTATTCATTGCTAATTTTAGCCCTGCGTATTGGGGAATATTGGATTTAACAAAAGAAAGTTTAAAAAACTCCGGAATAAAAAATAAGGATATTGAAAAATTATCACGGGATTTCTCTAATAAAATCGGATGGAACAACGATATCATTACCCCCAATGAAGTTCAAAAGTATTTCGACAATAATTGCGAAAATGTTGATAAAAATAAAGCGATTAAAAAGCTGGATATTAATATTCAGTATATGTATGTAAATTAAATATATTTTTTAAGCTATTTTTCTATCTAATGAAATCTATTATTCAGGAAAGACAAGATGCCGAATCTCCAAAAGATGTGTACAGAAGAAGAACTGACAATGTGGACCACAGTTCCGTTGATTTCTGGCATTTTCACATCAAAAAATATCAAAACTACATGGTAAATAAATTAACAATCTCTTTTTTAAAAAGATTTTAAATGGTAATATAGCGATTCTTGTTTTACTTTATGTGCAATATTAGGTGTGAAATCCAAGCTATTCCGACAAACAAGATGCGAAAAGATCCTTTTTCGAGGGCAAGAGTTGGACATAAAATCGATATGAAGGGCACCTTGGTCAAAACACCAAGTAAATTCGAAGTAATTTACGGCAAAGTTTCTGGAGGGCTTGGTCCTTTCGGAGAATCCGCCGCTTGCAAGAAAAAACAATATGTCGATAAAGTAAAATTAATGGTAATGCTTCGCGATAGCCTCAATCAATTCTTCAAAGACAATCGACATACAAAAGACAAATGTCTTAAGAAACTAACTGTGTATGGATGGCTACAAATCGGTAAGTGTAAATAAATATAGAAATAAGAAAATGCTAATATGTGAGCTTCATGCTAATAATATTTTAACTATCAGGGATTGAATTAAATATATATGCCATGGATTGGATGGGTTCTGGGATTTATAGATTCGGGAAGTTGGATAAATGTTTTTTACCTGTCGATGAAGACGACTCGAAAATTCTGGAAGATGCGTATTGTATCTTAAATTTATTGGAGGTAATTACCATATTGTCTTGAGTTTTATTTAAGTATCAATTTATAAATATTAACCCAACACTGAATTATTGTAGTCAAAATTGCTCGAATCGGAAAAAATAATAAAAAAAATAATACAAGCTAATACGTTAAACAAAAGAAGACGCATCGAAGAAGAAAATAGTCCTCATTTAAATAAGAACCGATAGTTGTATATTTTTGAGGCTCTTTGTGAGAATTTAAGTCTAAAAGTTTGGATTATTAATTACCATCGCTATTAGGTTTAAAGCATATTCTTTTTTTTGTACATTGCAAGTATATTTAATAAAGTTCGACTGCATTAGACATCTAGTTTAGCATTGCCACCAAATACATTATTGTTATTACTACGAAGAGACGCACATCACGGATTTTTTTGATCCTTTATAAAAAATTCACGGCTTAAAATTTGAATCGTTGACTCTTAGAACCTGCCAGAAGTTTGCGTAGCTACAGATGCAAAATAAATAGCTTTGAAAATCAAGGTCTCTTCTACAAAGTATCGCCCATCAGTATATGTGCGACTTTCACCTAACGCATTTACAAACGTTGATAAATTGGGAAAAAGAATAAGTAGATCTTTAACCAATATAAAGTTGGATTTTCAAGATTTGGTTGCTGTGGCTTAGACTGACACACATATAAATAGCGAGTCAAAAAACCTGCGCGCAGTTGAATCTGTATCAATGTCACCACAAGTATTTGCGAATCGAAAATTCAAACAATCAGATTCCAAATTACTACTAACTATAAAACGACGTCCGTTTATATTTTTTGGGCTACCATTTTTAGTTTGTATCACAGGAGGGTCATTTGGTCTCTCATATTTGACACGCACCAGATATGATTTACACGCACAAAAAGCATCGATGGTAGGATTGACCAAAATAGTATCTTTGACTTTATTGATTATTAGTGTTCATTTTAAGAATATAATTTAATTAGCTTGAAAAAGAGGAAGAATTACGCATGAAAAAAGATCGACGAAAAATCAATCTTCAGCAAGAATACTGGGTATGCACTATCATCATGTTATTATGGGTAATCGAATGATAATTTTATTTGCCTTATTCCTCTCATTTCAAATTCCCCTCGGATGAATTTCAGTTATTACAAGCAAAAGAGCCTAGTCTAAAAGACAATGATTATGAATTTAAACGTGTCCCAAGACCACCTGGTGCTTTTGATGGGGTGTTGGAAAAATAATTGCGTCACCATATATAATGACAAATTTTTGATTTTCGTCGTTCTAGTCTTTTATCCGGCGGGTGTTTGTCTTTATTTACAAAAACAAATAAAGCAATGAATAAAAAAATGATTATAATAACCATTTTTAGCAACGATACTAAGAGAAAAAGTGAAGGTGGCCATTAATTTAGAAAATTCTATAATATTCCACAAAAATCCTCTTTGATAGTACCGATCGCAAACTAGATCAATAAAAGAATAAATTCAAAAAAAAATATGCAAAAAAAAAGACGAAAACAGCATAACAACACTTACTATATCGGTTGCATCAAATCGTGTTCCCACTATTTTAATTCTACAGTTACTACCTTTCTCGATTGTGTTCTAATTTAATTTAGAATTAATTCATAATAGTCAATTTAATAATAGCTAAATAGTAATCGCGAATAATTCTTACGTTCTCATCGGAAAACGCTGGCGGATTTACGTATGGATTAAACTTCATATCGGAGGGGATTAACTAATAAACAAAATATTAATCGATCAATTAAAGAATACATAGTATACGTACAATAGAACAAAATAATACTCACATGGCTTGATACGAAGACTTGTAACGGTCCTACTTCCGCAAAAAATCCCATCTTAGGTGATTATGTACCAAATAAAATCAGAATAAATGATAAAAAGGTTAAAAAAATAATAGTCACATCTTTTAGATGTATACCAAATATTCTTCTACTTGGCATAAGAACATAAAATACCTTGTTAACTGATGTCACCGTCCCATCAACCACTTCGCCTTTAAATGGTTTAAACACAATGGCTTGGTATTTGACAGTAAATTCTGCCAGTCCTATAGACGGCAATACCTTCCCTTTCGAGATTTCTTTCACTGTGAGTACATTAATTATGTAACCAAACCGTCCGGTACAGGTGCCTTCCACGTCCGTGTGAAGCTTCCTCTTTAGAAAATCATCCATGTTTGGTCCAAAGAAAGAAGGATGTAATTGAATGGTGTGTGAGAGGTCTTTCTGTGGAATTCATGATTATTTAGTTGTGTTGTAAGTAATTTTTCGGTAAAGACTGCTAAAAATCACTTACGAGAAAGAACATTCTAGCAAAATTTTTGACTACTCCTAAGATAATTTTATTAACAATGATCTGTCAAACAGATCAAATGTCAATAGGGTATGACCAGAACTAACCAGAACTAGATTATTTAGTTAGGGCATAACATGTGATCGACAATAACACATGCCCTCGTGTGCTGATCACCGTCCGGTGTTTAAATTCTGTCTAATTTAAAAATGTCATATATTAAAGGCTTTACTATTTTGACCCAAATAAAGCTGTGAATCACATTTGATTCATTATTTCATTTTACATTCCCAAACGAGGTATTGATGATCATATATTTTCCTAATATAGCGATAAATCCATATTGTGATTGACAATATGACAATATGTCAAACAGCTAGATAATCAACATGCCAAGACACAAATAAAGTTATATAATAAAGGTTCGAATTCAGTAGTAGAAGTTACTCTGATACTCTGGAAATGTCTGGCTTTTACGGAATTCCGCTCCCTGTCTTAACAGATTCCTATAAACCATCGCATTCTTTTCTGTTTCCTGAAGCAAAAAAGGTTTAAAAAAGAAATCATGTTAATGACAATATTTTCATTTAGAAATCGCATAATGTTTGTTCTAGTCAATTCTTTACATAAATTTAAGTGAAAACAAAACAAAAAACAAAAAAATTCCTTTCTTTTTTCAATGACCAATTACTGAGAGAGATAGTAATAAATTGTTGCTTTATTATTATTGATTCCTCAATTTTGCATGTTAGGCCGTTGCTTACGCAGAATTTCGAAGTGGTTTTAAAAATGATAATGAAGATACGCGTATCGTCTTTTATGGATTTCGCTACATGTTTGTATCATTTATAAATGAAATTTTCTGTTTAAATATGAATGAATTTCATTAATGAATTCTTCTGGAATGTGGAAAATTTCTTGAATAAAAATCTCCTCTTATCTTTTGATTAAATAAACAAATTTATTTTTTTTATTTGCTGAAATGGCAGAATTGAAAATTATATCTCAGTGAAATGGACGCGCAAAGATGTTGAACTTGCCGAAAAATTCTTTGCGACGCATAATGCTGGGTATACTAATTTCCCGTTCCCTAAGGATTTGATACTAAAGGTGACTTGAATAGTGAACTAATCTAAAGGCTATTTCTTGCGGGATTTAAATTCACTATATTTTCTGCTGTCAACAGTTTATTGAAGAAAATGATGGATATTTTCCGATTAAGATCGAAGCACTGCCCGAAGGAACTGTAGCACATAAGCATACGCCAGTATTTCAGATCACAACCGAAGGAGAATATACTCCTTTGCTTACTTATCTTGAAACTTTACTATTAATGGCGTGGGTAAGTCGAATACTTGTCATTAGTTGAATTCTTTAAAACGATTATTATAAATGTTTCTTAATAGTATCCATCTACTGTGGCGACCTGCTCACGACGTGCACGCGATGTAATTGAAAAAGCATATCAAGACACAGTCGACGACGACGGATATTGGACTTTGGAAAGGTATGCCTGTTTCAATGTTAAACATTTATTTTCATTAATTCTATAATTATCTTTATTAGTCGTCTTCATGATTTTGGATTTCGTGGATGTACCGGTATTGAGCAATCAATGCTTGGAGGAGCAGCTCATCTTGTAAATTGTCACCTTTCTTTAATATTTATCTTATAAGCAGAATATTTACCAAAGATAAATTATTGATTCATGCGGTTTATTCAAATCACACTCAAAGCTAAACTTTACAGGAACCGATACATTGAGCGCAGCTTATTATGTTCAATACCATTTAAACAACGGGAAGCCTATTGGGTCTTCTATTCCTGCCACTGAACATTCCGTTATGACTGCATATAAAACGGAACGGGTAATTAATGTCGAATTTTTCTAGTCTATTATTGATTGATTTATCGTATTAACTTTTTATTTATCTTTCGTTTACAGGAGGCTATCTCGAAAATGATTGAACTATTTGGTTTCGGCGCGTTTGCATGTGTAATGGATTCATACGACTACGCATTTGCACTGGAAAAAATATTGCCTTCCGTTGCATCGCAAAAACTTGAAAAAGGTGGTTTTATGGTATTACGACCTGACAGCGGTGATCAAGTTGAAGTTGTTTTAATGGCTCTGAGGTCTTTATGAGAAGATATGAGCGTTCTTTTTGGCACATGATTAAAATTTGGTTTTTTTTGTTATTAGGGCAGCGGAGAAGGTTTTTGGATGTGATGTGAATAAAAAAGGATACAAAGTGTTACGTGGGTGCGGTGTTATTCAAGGTGATGCTGTCACTTCGGAAACTCTGTCTGCTATCTTGGCTGCGGCTAAGGAAGCTGGTTATTCGGCACAAAATATTGCTTTTGGAATGGGCGGCGCACTTTTGCAGGTTACTTGATTTTCAGTCAACTGTATTGAATTTTATCTGAATGAAGATAAATTGATAATTTAATTACATATTTGTAGAAAGTTAATAGGGATACGATGAGTTTTGCATGCAAGCTATCACATATAACATATTCAGATGACACTAAACGGTTAGAAAATTCGATGCTTTTTTTTTTAAGAAAAATACTGATGATTTCTTTGTTCAAATGAGTATTTGTTGTTTTTTTTGTACAGAGATGTTATGAAAATACCGAAATCTGATGGCGGAAAGATAAGTTTGCCTGGTGAATTTGTGGTGCAACGTAATGCTGAAGGGGTAAGAATATGGTTCATGTCAAAGATTGGAATTATATCAAAAATCTTATCCGAGAGCCTAATCAAAATATGCGGATAAAAGATGATTTCAATCTCTTGACATGATGAGTTATTCGCTCTTTGGCAATATATTTTTCTATTCAATTCATCTTTGATACACCATAGGTCCCAATTATTCATCCTAAAGAATCGGCAGCTCCCAATACCGAGAACCTACTCCGTGTTGTGTATGATCACGGAAAAGTATGTGACTGGGATGACTTTGACACTGTACGAAAACGTGTTGCCAAGGAATGGTCTGCCTTACCGACCAAATACGATAATATTAGTCCTGAATTACGCGTAAAAATCGATAAGACTATTGAGACTCTAAAAAAGAATCGAGAATCTTTGCAAATGGGTTAAATATTAATCCTCATTTAATGAATAATGTATTTTGCAGAGATGTGACATGATCTTGGTAATAAACATCCTGTGACAAATAAATAGATTATAAATTATTGCTTTGATAATCACGTGGCCAAATATCGTATCTTTAAAATTTGGCGGATTTAAAAAAATAAATAGATGTTCCACACCATAGAATGAACAAAATTACCAAATTTGACTGTGTATCGTGGGGTTTTTTTCTTGCAGTTAATTTGCGAGTAAAAATAATCAGAACTATCGCTATCACAGTTTAAGCTAATACTAAAGTGGATAGGTGGATTTTTCTTTGACATCATGTCTCTAAATCTGATTGGTTAATATATAAGTGTAATATTGAGTCAACTAAATTACATCATATTTATTCATAGAATCTACTCTCCTGTGCCAACCAACTTGTTAAAGATTCTTTGAGCGTAGTCTTCACACAAACACATACTAATACCACCAAAAATGTCTGACGATGAACGAGAAAAAGATAGTCTGGTCGAGGATAAGTCAGAAGAAGTAATGTTTCTTTGCAGGCAGAATAATATTCGTTTGTTTAATTAATTACTCACTTTTACTGTTCTTTTAGCTTATCTTTGATCCCACATTGAAAAAGAAGAAGAAAAAAAAGAAGACGGTTTTATTCGAGGACGAGATAGAACAAGGGGAAATTGATGAGGGTGCAAATGAGGATGGACCAATCGAACCAATTGGTACATTTTCAATTATTTCCTTAATAGATCACTATAGATTTGTTATATTGATTATTTTTATCTTTTGATTTAGATGGAAATGAACCAGCACCCGTTGCAAATGGAGAGCAAGAGGGGGAGGAGGATGATGATGCAGCCGCAATGTTCGCTGCCTTAAAAAAAAAGAAGAAAAAGAAGAAGAGCGTATTTGATGTAAAATTGTCTTTCCTTTTTTTTTTAATCTTTGATTTCTGTATATACTCTGATTACTCATTCATATAAATAGGAAGAAAAGACGGAAGAAAAGGCGGAAGAAGAAGCACCAACAGCAGAACCAGGAGAATTTTCAGACATGCCAAAAAAGAAAAAAAAGAAGAAGCCAGCTGATTTATCTGAATTTGAAAAACAGTTAAAAGAAGGCGAGGAAGAAGAGATAAAAGCTCAGGAAGATGGCGGAGATGTATTCGTGAATGAAGGCGAAGTGGAAGAAAAGGAATCGCGTGATGAAGAAACGTGGTTAGGCACAGACCGTGATTATACATATTCTGAGGTAATATATAATACAATTGTGTCTATAATTTCTTTTAATGATAATTTACACTCTTTTATATGTAAATACGATCGATTGATCAGCTTCTAGGCAGAGTTTTTAAAATTCTTCGACAAAATAATCCCGAATTGGCCGGCGAAAAGAAAAGATACACAATTGTTCCGCCATCAGTTCATCGTGAAGGCAATAAAAAAACTATATTTGCAAATGTTGCTGATATTTGTAAAAGGTTTCGTTTTTATTCTTATACAAGTTTGTTTTAAATTTCAGTTAATTTTTTTTTAATTAACCAAGTCCAATTATAGAATGCATCGACAACCAGAGCATGTTATTCAATTCTTGTTTGCCGAATTGGGAACAAGTGGCTCGATTGATGGCTCTCAACGTCTCGTGATCAAAGGACGATTCCAACAAAAACAAATTGAAAATGTGCTGCGTCGATATATAGGTATATACCAATATTGATCATAACTATTTTTCTACTGATTTATTGTTTATTGCAATGTTTTTATTTATTTCTCCCAATAGTTGAATATGTCACATGCAAAACATGTAAATCACCTGATACTATATTAACAAAAGAAAATCGTATCTTCTTTATGCAATGCGAGAGTTGTGGGTCTACTCGTTCTGTCTCGGCTATTAAGTCCGGTATGTTATTATTTAATTGTTGTTGTGATGGACACGAAATTTTGGTTTTGATCATTATTTAATTTTTATTTTCATTTTTAATTAGGTTATCACGCGCAAATCGAAAAAAGAGCGGCGCAAAGAAGAGCCGCTCAATAAAAAAAATAAAACTAATCGACTTACAATACATAATTAATTCAACAATACATTTAAATTAAGATTGATTCGCGATATCTCCATATTAAAGTCTAAATACGTTGTCAACAATTTGATTTGCTTTACATCGTCCCCACGTGATATCAACATTGAAAAAAAATCTAAGAGCTTGTAATGTGTATGTCATTAATGATTTAAATATTAATTTTGACGATATTAATTTATTTTGACAAAGGTTACATACAATACAAGAATAGAATATAAAATTAGAACAATTATATAGAATTGCATGATAGAATCATTCATGTAATCATGAGATAACATAACGATAAATAAAAAATTCTAATGTTGAAATTTCTCCGTAATTCTTAAAAATCACATGACCTGATGTTTTTCACCATGGCCAGAGCTAACTCCGCTGATTCTTTACCATAAGGTCCGTGGACATGCAAATTATATATGACAATCAACGCGAATCAAATTATAAAAACAAACTTCTATTTAATTTTATTTTTATAAAGCCATTTCTATATTCTACTTCTTCCAAATTGTCCTCTCAATTTACGGCGCACCAAATATTATCGGAATAAAAATATATCCCACGTTTACTAAATACTCATATTTTCATTTATACAATTTATAAATAATTCCGTGGGATATTTTTCAATTACTTAATCACCATGGTATATCTTTTTGAAATTACCTAATATAGAATTTATTAATAATTATAGATTAAAACAATAATAAAAGCTTTCTATTTTATATAAAAATTAATTTGAAAAATGATAATTATAAAAGTTAGATAATCCATTCTGATTTTCTTTTTTACATGATATATTATCAAAGATTTGAATATAATTCAATCTATATTAATTGAATAGACTTCTTGAGAAGAATTAATGGATTAAATGCTTGTAATGAGTTAACAGATTGGATTTCTTGTATTAAATTAATTAAATCAGGTTTATAAAGAGAAATTAAACTTGATATTTTTATTAATATTTGCTATTTATTAATTTTTTATAGATTTAGACTTCTTGAATATTATGATATTCAATTAATATTTATTATTACTTGTTCTGAAATATCATTATTATATAAGATTTGTGCTATTATATTTTTTTTAAAATGATTTATTAATAAATTTATAAATATAATTATTTTAATATATTATTTAGTTTCTTTTATTAATTTAAATTATAATATATTTTTTTATATCAGATATTAATTCTCTTTATTTTAAATTAATTTGTAAATATAAATGATTATTTGCATTAATTAAATACTTAAAAAGATATTATAATATGAATTATAAGTATTAAAAGAATTAGCAGATATTAAAATAATTTTTGTATTGTTTTTTATTAATATTTTGCTAATTATTTTTAGTTATATAAAATTAAATTCATTATCTTTTTATTATTTTAATTAATTAGCTTTTATAATATTATTATAATATATAAAAATTATAATTATTTGAAAAATATTTAATAAATTAAATTTTTAAATATTAAAATTATTATTATTAATTTATATTAAGTATATATTCAACTTTTTCTAAATTAAATACACAAGCTTCTTGAATTTCACAAAGTTTTTTTTCTTGTAAATCTTATATTTTTTTATGTAAAATATTAAAAATTATATTAATTATATAAATTAATTTCTAAAATTTTGATAATTTTAATAAATAATTATTAATAATATTAAGTATTAATTTTAATAAATATAATTTATATTTTTATTTATTTATTATTTAGTTAATATTATAGATTTAATAATTTATTTTTTTAAAATTTAAGTATTAATTATTTTAATTAAAATATTATTATTTATATAATTTGCAAATATTTTTAATTATATAATTTAATTTTGAAAATATTTTTTATAATTTTTTATTTTTATAATATTTTACAATTATATTTAATTTATTTTCATATTAATTTTTTATTTTTAAATAATAAATAAATAAATTAAAATATTAATAAAAAAGTTATTTAAAAAATAAAAATTATAATATTATATTTTATAATAAATATTTTAATTAATTATATACAGTAGCAATTAAAAGTAGTAACCTAGAAGCTAAATTTATTAATAAAATATAGTGAAAATTGAAATTTTCTCTCTATATTAAAATTTATAATTTTATTAAGAAATA